TACCAAATGTCAGATCAGAAAATGTATGTACTGTTTACAGAGTGTAGTTGGCATGTAGTCTAAAGATATAAATGGTATGAACTCTGATATCTGTTGTAAACGTTTTGAAATAATTTAAATGTTACCAAAGTTTTTAAATTACTCACTATTTTATACGAATAAATGTTTGAAAAGTCAATGTGACACTTCGGACTCGTATCCGGGTCGGATACGGGTTGGGGGTGTTACATTTAATGGTATCAGAGCTATGGTTTAGCCGATTCTTGGCATAAATCGAAGTCCAAAGTGTCATAAAAGATGTACATGCCAACATAGATTGAAAAATTTCTGATCTGATGGTGTAAGGAATAGGCTGTCTTGCTAATAGAATAAGAATAGTTTAATACAGTAGAAATCCGATCGTGATAATTTCGAAGTAAGTGAAAGGTGATATTCCTGATTGTGATAGCTATTCACCTGCCCTGGCCAGGCAGGATGAAGAGCGGACACCTCAGGAAATGCCTAGTAAGATCAAAAGTTGATTTCAGAAAGCTGAAATCATATCTGAATAATGATAGAAAGTTTTCATCGTTTGGAATCGAAAACACGATGTAGAGTAGTTTTGCTATTATGTGAATAAGATAGAAGATGGTGAACGGGTGTCACCATAAGAATGTTAAAAAGATCTAATGACGTGATGATTACGTATAGAAGAACTCAAGGATAAGTGCATCAGTGACAAGTGTATAAGATGTATAAAGTCAGTGCTTATGAGTTTGAAACAAAGTGATAGTATAGCGCATAAACAAGAGTATGTTTATGATAAAGGTTTGTAGTAGAGATGGAAAGAGTTAGCATTGGCTAACTAGAGTATGTGATAAAATGTACTGGAATTTTAAGATTATAAGATATTGTCAGGATATGATAACCATATATGCAATGGATCTGGATACAGTTGCATATTTGGATCATAGTAATGTGGTATAGTAAAGGAAAAGGAAGTAAGAATTGGTATATTTAAGTAAAGCTGAGGATTGATAAGAAGAGTTTGAGAATATGTATATCGATGATCAGATTATAGGACACAGGAAGTCAGAATGTTGAGATAATTTAGATTGGAAAGGATGTATATGATTGGTATAATAGGGCTTGTGCCCTAGATTGAACGAAAGTTATTATATAGCTGTCAGAGTAAAGGTGCTAGAGTTATAAGATTGGAGGAAAGATAAAGTGGAGTTAATTGATTATGATGTGAATTTGAATATAGTTGTATATTCTGAGCAGATAGCTATGATGTAGAAACTGGGATGAGTATTTGCATGGAACCTTCAGGAAGGAAAATACAAGTATAAGAAATGATAAAGAATGAAGTTATGTATAAGAAATGGGTTATCAGAGTAATGAGGATACAATGAAGATAGGTACATAAAGATGAGTATAAGTGATAAGACAAGAGTATGTGAATATGAAAGGAAATATATGATTTATGTATAAGGAATAAGGAGTAAAGAAATGAAAGGGATTGATTTAAAAGAATCAGATACGATAAATATGGAAGTACAGAGGACAGATTTGATATAGAGTGATGAGATGAATGTTATTGTCAACGTGATGAGTGACATTATATGGAATTTTAGAAAGGTCAAAGGAAAAATGCATAATCGAATGAGAGAAAAGACAACAATGGATTGGTATTACTGGTTATTGCTTATATGATAAACAACAGAAGATGAAGGTATAAACGAAAAAGATAGTCGAAAAACTAAAGGATTAAAAAGTAAGTTTCTGATGATGACAAGAAAGAATAAGTCAGGGAAGCAACATAAGAACATTAGAAGATGTGTTCCTATTAAGATGTGCAGTGAAAATTCGAGGACGAATTTTCTTATAAGGAGGGGAGATTTGTAACATCCTCAATACCGGGTTAGTGATCAAATTGTAAAGTTTCATAATTTGATGACTAAAATAGAAGAATGAAATAGTTCTATGATTATTGGATACATATGATGAAGGTTATTTTGTAATTGTTAAAGGAAATAAAGGGTAAAATGGTCATTTGATCATTTAAGGAATTATATACACGTGGGAAATGGGAGAAACATCCAGAGTTCTCTTCTCCTTTCTTCTTCTTCATGCGTGGGAGAGCAAGGCAAAGGTGAGAGTTTTATTAATTGATTATTATTTGAATTTTAAGTTTGGTTTTGATCTTTAGTTGATGGATAAACATAAGGAAATCTTGGGTTACAGTAAAAATCAAAGAATGGAGGGGTTAAGAGAGATTAAAGATTTGGAGTTTTTATATGAAACTTTGGAAAAGAATTGATAAGTAGAATTTGAAGTTAAATTTGACTTGTCAATGGTTAAATTAAGAGATTTGGAGTGATAGAATTTGATTTTGAACATATAGAAAATTTGATATGATTCTTGAATTTCATATGGAAGATAGGATTTTGAGGTTTAAGATGAAATAAATGAATATAGATTGGTTTAAGTATGTGTACTAGAGTTAAGAATGAAAAGGGGATGATATATGAAGTGTTTGAGTGAAAATGAAGTAATTTTCGGGTTGAAAATATGATTTCTGGGCAAGGGGAATCGGTACCCATTCAAGGGGAACCGATACCCCTTCAAACGACAGAATTCCAGAATGTCTTGAGGGAATCGATACCCCCATAGTAGGGAACTGATTCCCCCTAAAGGAAAATGCGAATATTGGTTTAATAAGTTCGTTTAAGTTGCTAGTATTCAATTACAAGGTGTAGGTATCTAATGGTTGCCTCAAAATATATATGTATGTAGATTCTACGCATAAAGCAATTCCGGAACGTTTGGCAAGTAAGATCGATCAAGGAAAGATAACAGATCGATATTGACTAGTGAGGCCAGGTGAGCGCATTTTAGTTTATAGGATTATAAGGAATTGGACTTGTGATAAGTCTATTTTCAATATTTGTTGTGTATGGATTATTGATTATAATGATGTGAATGACATAAAAGGTATGTATACTTGATTATATGAAATGATATGTGCTTATATGTGCTATGTGATTTATGTGATATGCCATATGGGAAAATAGAGTGTGAACTTTAGGAAAGGATTATATGATGTATATATGAACATATGTGAACAAAATAAGACATGCATGTTTACATGAATACATGAGTAATAATATAGGTAATATGATATGAATCTATGTGAATACGTGAGAAATAATATATGTCTATGAGAAGACATAAGAACAAAGTATAAGCTATGTGATATATGAATATGAATTCATATGAAAAGTGACATGTATTACATGAAAGTAAACTACGTGATTATATGCACATGTGAATGTGAATCACATGGAAATGTTCTACGTGCAAGTGAATTATGTAAAATAGCAATGATTTATATGATAACAAGAGAAAGGATATAAATTACATGAGTTAGATATATATATATATATATATATATATATATATATATATATATATATATATATATATATATATATATATATAGGAATTGTATAACCAACTTACAAGATTAGATGAAAAGTGAGATAAGTTAAATAACATTGATTTATAGGGCAATATAAGAATAATATATATATATGAGGTGACATTGACAGAAGTAATTATATGAACATGTAAATAAGTTATATGGAGAGGATATATGAGCTGAAATGAACATATAATACATGAGTCATATGGTAAAGACTTATGAATCTATAGGAAAATGTTATGGGAACTATGTGATGATAAGTTATGAGAAAATATTTATATAGGTAACAAGCTATGGGAAATTGAAGTAAGTAATATATGAAACTAGAATATAATGAATGTGAAATAAGTGATTAGGTAAAACTGTGAGAAGTTATAGGGCATTGTTATTCGAAGTATATGAAAGTATGTATATGGATACCTGTATAAGTTTATAGGTTATACTATGTGCTATGTGATATACTTGGTGTATGAGAATCATATGAGAATAAGAGATGACAATGAGTTACATGCCAGATGAACACAAGAGAAGTGTTATAAGCTACGTGACAGAGGATTATGAAATCATACGAAAAGTGAAATGTACATGTGAATATGTGAAGTGATATGAATATAATGCCCATGTTATATGATACGAGAGCTATAGGTATAGTTGGCATGCCAAGAGTCGAGGGTTTACCTATGTCTTTCGAGACATATGGACAGTTTACCGAGGATCTTTATGACCTCTGGACAGTTACCGAGGATCTTTATGACCTCTGGACAATTACCGGGGTCTTTGTGACCTCTGGATAGGTCCTTCGGGACATTTATATGAGCTGTGGTGACAGCATAGTGGTGCACAACCTCAATAGACTCACATATCTACAGTTCTCACAGGTGCACATGGGCTAATAAGAGATAACATGGAATGTAATGTATAAGATATATGTGATGTATATACTTTTGGTAATATGTCATGTGTTGCTTGAATTATAATGATGTTGATAAAGATAATAATGTACATGGGCAATGCAATTGGAAGACAAACGAAAAGTGAAAGTAATACAAGAAGGTAGGTTGCGTGTGTGTATGACATGATTATATATATTGTTATCATGCAATAGATACATGCATATTGAAATGTCATGATTCAAATGGTATGAATGCACGTTCATAAATTTATTGTTATATGTTTAATTATTGCCTCACTAAGTCAACGACTTAGCGTGTGATTGTTTCACACGTAGGTTTCGAGAAGAATAAAGAGTAATGCGGAGCAAGACATGTCAGTTCTCCTTACCAAATGTCAGATCAGAAAATGTATGTACTGTTTACAGAGTGTAGTTGGCATGTAGTCTAAAGATATAAATGGTATGAACTCTGATATCTGTTGTAAACGTTTTGAAATAATTTAAATGTTACCAAAGTTTTTAAATTACTCACTATTTTATACGAATAAATGTTTGAAAAGTCAATGTGACACTTCGGACTCGTATCCGGGTCGGATACGGGTTGGGGGTGTTAAAGATTTCATTGAAGGACTTCCACAGTCAATGAAATCCAATTGCATATTGGTAACAGTGGATAAATACTCCAAATATGGTCATTTTTTAGCCATATCCCATCCTTATACAATAACTGAAATAGCTAGAACCTATTTGGAGCAAGTTTATAAATTGCATGGACCTCCTAAGATAGCTATATCTGACAGAGACAAAACTTTTACAAGTTTGTTCTGGAAGGAATTAATGAGGCAACTTGGAACTACTACTTTTTTCAGTACAACCTACCACCCAGAAACAGATGGGCAGACTGAAAGGTTAAACCAATGTTTGGAACAATACTTGAGAAGTATGTGTTTCCATAAACCTAGGAATTACACCTTTCGAAGCATTGTATGGATATAAGCCTCCTATGATTACTTGGCCTAATTATACTAGTGTCAACACAGTACATGAGATGATGGTGGAAAGGGAACAACTATAGAGATTACTTAAGGAGAATCTATCTAAGGCTCAAAACCGTATGAAACAAAATGCAGACAAACATAGAAGTGATCGAGAATTTCAAAAAGGAGAAGAGGTTTACCTCAAATTGCAGCCCCGTAAACAATCTTCAGTAGCTGTCAGGAAGAATTTGAAGTTGGTTGCGAAATATTATGGACCATACAAAATCCAAAAAAAAAAAATAGGGTTAATTGTGTATCAATTAGAATTGCCAGCACATTCTAAAATCCACCTTGCTTTTCATGTAAGTCTATTGAAGAAGAAGGTAGGTGAAGGAACAGTTACCTCGAAGAATCCTCCTGAATTAAGCGATGATGGACAAATGAAGGTGTATCCAGCCATTGTCCTTAATAAAAGGATAGTGAAGAGACAGAATCGAGCGGTCACGCAATTGTTGATACAGTGGTCGAATTTGGGGGCTAAAAATGCGACTTGGGAAGACTATAATGTGTTGAAGTCTCAATTTCCAGATTTTGATCCTTGGGGACGAGGATCGGGTGAAGGGGAAGGAGATGTTATGAACATGGAAGAGAAAGGGAAAATGTTAGGGATTTCTGTCGAGGGATTAGGGATTACGAGTGAGGAATTGGGGGAAATGAAAAAAATACCTGGAGCAAAAGAAATCGTCTCTTAACTTGGAGCAGGATACCCGCGTGGAGAATCCAACAAGAGCACAGGTTAGATCGGTTATGGAACTGGCCTGCTTAGAGAGGAGTCACCAGTTTGGGCTTGCTGATGAACAGCCCAACACGTGAAGGATTGTTGGAATCAATTGACTACCAGCTGTACAAAATAAAATTCTATTAGATTTGTTTGTACTGAAGGAATATAATGAAATATTATACTGAAAAACAATCTATTATGGCAATTAATGAAAATTTCATCTTTTCTCTTAAATCTATTCTTCTAAATTTCTCTAAATCCCTAAATTCTTTCTTGAATTCACTAAGGTTCATAACACAGCAAAGCCATTGACCAAGTAGTGGTAACTATACAATTTCATATATTCCCCCCTCCCCCCCTCAAGGCTCTCCTTAACATAGAATCAAGAACTCTAGACCATAACATCCAAAATGAAGAAACAGTCGAGTTTTTAAAAAAAAATACATCTCCGAACAAGAAAAGCAGAAGAGATATATGCAACTTGAGAGAGAAGTGAACAGGGAACAACAAGCACAATATTCAGCATTCAGCTAATTATTGGTTATTTATGAAAGTCAAGTGTTAACATGGTGAAGCTGAGACCCAGAAATCAGAATGTGTATCTTAAAAAGTATTTTGCAATTACAAATACTAGTTTCCACAAGGAGATTGTGCTCTTTCTTTTTCTTTTTGTAGTAATACTGAACCCAAAAAAGAAGAAGAAAAACATAATTTGAGGTTGTCAAAACTAACAGTCCATTCCCCAAAGCCCCACAGAATGAAACAAGAGGAACCCTTACTGTTTAAATAATAATTAACCATCAAAGGTCCAGAATTTTTTTTTTAAACCTATTAAAACAAGCATCTACACTTCAGAAATTCCACGTACTTAAATGCAATACGAAGATGCGTTACTGTTGCAGACCAGCGTTGTTTCCCATCATTAACCCATTCGTATTTTCCGTTTGCCATTTTATTGCTGCAATAAAATTCCATTGAAAAACAGTGTCTAATAATTATTGATTAACAATTATTAACAAATACTCTCCTGCTCAGTGAGCACACACGCGCGCGTATATATATATAGGTACCGGTGATCAACATTTCAAATGCCTTGTTCTTTATATCTAAATTATAATCAAATACAGAGGAGGAATTCATAGCCAAAGGAATCATCCTTAATCCAACTACTGTTTCTGCATATGTGTCCGTTGTTGTAGCTTCACCACCCTAGCTAGCCACCAATCCAAAAAAAATAATTAAACTCAACATGTCAGCCGCCGTAGCAGCCGCCGCCGCCGCCGCCGCCGCAAGAGTCTCGTCTAACCGCAGGTCTCATTATCGAAGTAATCAGCAGGCAGTGAACCATCAACGTTGGACACCCTTTTTCCCACCATCGCCACAACCCGCCCTGCTCGTCCCGGCTTTTAGCCGCTATGAATCACAGAAACAACGTGACTGGAACGCGTTCGTGCAGTACCTGAAGATTCATCATCCACACTTGCATCTTCCCCAGTGCAGCGGCGTACACGTGCTCGAATTCTTGGAAGGTCGGTACGGGGACACCAAAATCCACACCCAAAACTGTACCTTTTCGGTGAACCGGCCTGAACCACCACCGCCATGCTCTTGCCCTCTCAATGAAGCTTGGAGCAGCTTGGACGGTCTGGTCGGACGGCTCCTTGTGGCTTTTGAGGAGAACGTAGGCCAACCGGAGATGAACCCTTTCAGTGCTCGAATTGTAAAGCTGTACCTGAGGAAAGCGAAGGAGTCTGAAGCTAATGCTAGAGGACATAGATTATAGCTTAAAAACAAAGAACTCAACAGCTACTGATAATTATACAACTCGGGTGGTCCTGCCTGGTATATGTTGTTGGTCGCTCTCACTGGACTACTAATCTCCAGCTTTTTCTTTTCTTCCTTCATCAGATTAATGGAAGAAAATCAAATGACTGTTTCGATTCTCGATGTTTGATTTTATTTTAATACTCAATTTTATGCTTTTATTACAAAATTCATGATAACTGAGCTTCAAAATCTACTTTACGTAAAAACTTTTGAAATCTCATTATTTACAATTAATTTGAATATTAACTTTGAAATTTGATATATTTATTAATAATAATTTGGCTATTATTTATCATTAATCTTGTTTCTTTCTCTCCAAAGAGAGGCGATATAGTGATTTCAAGCATCGCAATGGCATCCTTCCCTTCCGTCTATCCCAAGAAACCTTAACCCTAACATCCTAATCACATTCCAAATAGAATCACCCCAAATCAGTCATTTAATCTTGTAACAAAGCAAATCGAGGTCTAAGATACAACACATTCCTCTCCACTTTGCAAATTAATTGTCAACTTGCCACAATGAATGATCCTTTATAACACAGGCCATGCAAATTAATTGTAACTGGAAATGAGGCGTGGCTTATTTTTCATCCACAAAAGTATAAAATGGTTAGAAGAGGATGAGAGATAGAGACTTGATTTTGACAATTGATATTTCCCTTTTTCTTCAAATTTTTTAATGGTGGTGGTGGTCGGATTAGGTTATATCCTGATTTGCTTTGCTTTTCCTCGACACATTATTTTCCAAAAACTGTCATCATTATTACTCGGTCCTACATCTTTACAATTTATTCAATTCCCCCCCCCCGGTAAGGAATGCGATAATAACACATTAGTCACGAAATCTATCATGTTTAGTAAAACAATCCTTGTGTTTAAGATTAAATTGATGTCTATAAACAATTTCAATTTCTTCTTATACATGATTTTACTATTATTTATAAGATTTAAGAATTGAATATTTATGCAGTGATATATATAAGGAAATGACAGTTTAGGGAATTGCATGCTTCAATTATTGCAGAATAGGATATGAATATGCTTAATAATTAGAGAAAGAAAGAAAAGGTGTTTTAATTAGAGAGGAAAATGCAAAGCTGATGCTTGAATTATTGTAGAATAGCATATGAATATGCTTATATAATTAGGGGGGGAAAGGAAACAGAATACACGCGCTTGCCTTCAAAGACACAGGGACAGGAGTGTTGTTCACTTCAATGTTTTCTTTTATTATTATAAATAATATATTTCTTTAATTATTTTTTGAAGAGAAAAATAAGATGGGAAAACACAATAATGGAATGACAAATTATAAAGTGACGTCGTGGAACCTACTTGATAACAACATAAACCCTGACCTAATTAGGGTTTCCATTGTTGGGCCAAAAATTAAAGCCTTCATTTCTGTGGCTTTTATCAGACAAGGCTTAGCCCCAAGATCGTCCTGCGTCTCTCAACTACAACAAGAGTTGAGTTTTTTTTTTTTTTGTTATTGTCTCATCAACTTAATTGTAAAGTTGCTAAAATTCGGATGAATTGATGACACAAATAAGAAAAACTGTCAACATGGATCAATTTAAAACAAATTCTCAGCAAAGAAGTTGTTTTTAATATTATGAAACTGCAGTAATCCAACAGTTGTTGCATTAATCAGGAATTTCTGCTTGAATCCCAACTTTGTTTGGTAAAGAAGAAAAGTTTTTATTAAAAATAATCTTACTCACCCATTTGCACATATCCCTAGACAATAAGATTTGACAAGAAAAGTCAAGTTTTTCAAACGACTTTTTTTACCACCTATTTCATCACCATCAAAGCATTTTAATAATGGGTTTTCCCCCCTTCTCTCCTCCTTTTCCTTAGTAAAAGAACAGAAATAAAGAAGGAAGGGCAAGTCCCATCCTAAATCAATCTGCTGCCTGAGTTTTTCCAGTCATGTCTGATCTGATGGCACGTATTTCTTTTGCACTATTGAAACCTTCTGTTCCTCAGCTTTCTGTCCCATCCAAAACGAATGTGGGCCTTTTCCCTAATCTCCGTACTTATTCTAGCCGGTGAATACTTAATAGCAACAAAACATAACCTTTGAATCTGAATTAAGCTTCAAAATCAAGGTTAATGAACTTTATTTTAATTAGAAAGAAGCATTGTTGTTCCCTGGCCAATCAAACAAACCAAAAGGGTCCATTGTTTTCTTTTCTTTCTGCTCATCCTGATCGAATCCTTGTGGAAACAATAGGTTAAGAGGGTCTGTCTCTATCTCATCCAATTCAGCAAATAAATCCTCGGCCTGCTGGGAGTCTGCCATTAATGATGGCTTGTAATTTTGAGGGATTCGTTGGGTGAATTCACCATCGTGCATTTCCAGCTGCTTCTCCATGCCATCGCTCTCTTCTTTAGCAGATGAGCTGACAGCAGCAGGTACATTAGTGGGAGACAATGCATCGTTGCTGCTCTCCTTAAGGTCTTCATCCTTGGGGGCAGAAGAAGCATTATTGGTTTTGGATGGCTGAGACCTTGTGGATCCCGCGAGAGCATTCCTTTGAGTCGGCCATGGATGATTGTGCTCCGACGTATAGGTGATAACAAGAATGTTGGGATCATTTCGGCTCCTCTCCACTTGCTTCTTTGCAGAACAGCCTTTGGAACTGCTGCATCTGTAGTATCCCCTGGAATACATGAAATGCACAATCTCAATCATAATATCTTTCCTAAACATATATATATATATTTATATATGTGTGATAGTGAAGCAAAGAAGAGAGAAAAAAAACATTGGTTAGTTATGTTTGTATATATTAGGAAAAGTTTCGGCGATAGATGAACATGTACAAATACAATGAACAACTGTGCAAGGGAAACTCGCATGATCCCATAGTAAATATAACTTTTTTTATTATTATAATTAAGAAACACTACAAAGCAACCAAAAAACATGATTTCTGCAACTTGTCATCTCAGAAGACCGCAGAATAGCTACTGAACGGCAGCTCTAGTTTCTCAAACTTATTAGCAGCTTTTGGCTACTCATTTTGCCAATGATAACGTAACTAACTGGTAATAATGTTAAGTTTCATTGATATAATAGTAATAATCTATATGCATAAATAGAGTATATTTTATATGTACCTTGGATAAGGGGAACCTTTGATGGGTTTCTGCCCATATTTTCTCCATGCCCACAGATCCGAAGGAACTACTTCTCCACTAGACCTGCTGTTTGCAGCTGCTGGTGCTGGAATACAAACCACCTTCTTAACCTGGCTCTTTCTATATGTATGGATATATATACACATTTCCACAAGAATTAATGTTAGTTATTTTAAAAACTTATTCTTTTAATAAATAACGAAAGAATAGCATTCAAGAGCATGAGATGAGATTATTTTGGACATAATTTTTTCCCAAAGAAGGTGAAAGTGATTGTTCAATATTTTTAAAAACAAAAAGCAGTGAACATCATCATCCATGATATTTCAGGTGGCTTAAGGAAGAAAAGTACTTCATATAACTACACGAAAGCTAAGTTTCCCAATTAAGCTACCTATCTAGCTTTCCAGGTTTGATTAAAGTCTTTCCAGATTTCAACATTTTAAGCATTAATAGAAACCTCAGAGTGAGCGAGACTTGCCTACAAATCATACACTCCAATGCATAAAATTCAGGCAAATATTTATGGTATTTGATTAATTAGTAACAAACTAACAATAAACCCTAATTTCTCACATCCACTACATGATTTTATGAAAGTAAAAAGAAAACTCCAAAGTTCTGGAAATTTCATTAATTCCCTAAATGTTATTAATTCATGCATCATGGGTGTCAATTAATGAGATAGGGAAGAAGAATATAAAAATATAGTAGCTAGTTGAGGGGTTTATTTTCAGAGTAAAATAACGAAGGTTGAGCTTAGAGAATTAAATATTACCCTAACCTTCTCTTGATACCCAGATTCCGCGGAGATGAGATCTGCACTGGGCCAGTGTTATCAATCAAGCAATGTTTGGAGGCGGTTTTGGCATTAATCATGTCGCTTGGAAGTACAGCAGGCGCCTTAATTCCCCTCGGGGAAACACCCGTGGAAGGAGCCGTCATCGGCGAATCACAGGGCGACAAAGGTAGCTTACTTGAGCTTACTGGGGAGATCTGAATCCGAGAAAATACGTTCCAAGGACTCCGCGTATCTTCTTCAAACAGCTTGCTTTGACCCACGATTGTTGTTGAATCGGGGAAGTTGGTTGCATCATCAACGGTGGTCGAACTGGTACTGATGATGCGATGATGATCGGCTGAATTAGGGCTGGTGAAGTATGTCGAACCAGCAGGCACGTCAAGCTCTTGAACAAGTGGATCGGAGACACTCGAGAAAGGGTCACCAAAAGCGTTTAAACCATAACCTTCCATGGCTGAAGAAGAGAAATTCAATGGATCCGATGGGAATCGCTGCCAGGTTGAAGTAGGAACCATATCTGAGCCTTGACTAGTGACACAGCTCAACGGACCACCACCACCACTTGCCCGAACTATGTCGTTTAAATCACCTTCGCCTCGGTAGTTCTCCATTTGTAAGGAAACATGTACGAAACAAACAGCGTGCTCTCTCTTATTAGAAAAAACAAAACAAAACCTTCATCTATAGTTTCTCCATTCCCACACTTCTCTGAGCTTCAATTTGCACCCACACTAACTGCAGACGTGAAAAAGCATGCAAATGTTTTTGATTTTTTGAAGAGATGGGTTTTGGCTATTGGATCCAAAGAAACAGGGTCCTTTTTGTTTCAAGGTTTGAGAACAAAACCGATCGACCAATATAATCTTCTTTCTTCACATCAAAAGCAAACAAAAGAAACTCAATACTGTTTCTTTTCTGTTCTTTTCTAAAGAGAGATAGATGATGGGGAGAGAGAGAGAGTCCCTGAATTTTAATACAAAACTGGTTGTTTTTATATATGATAGAAATTAAAAAACAAATGGTAGTATTACTAAAACAGTCTTACAAGAGTTAAGGCCAAATGGGTCCAATCCATACAGCCAAATGGTAGTATTTTTTTTGTAGTATTACAAGAAGAATGGATTGAGTTCTATGATAGACGGCAGTATGGTTTCCACTGCACGTGTCTCATCATGCTATAATTTTTTTGATGACTGCTCTTGATCGGCTGGCAACTAAAGATAGGCCGTTGCATTTGGGTGTGACCATTGATGGCGTGTGTGTGCTATGTGAAGTTGAACTGAAATCTAGAAGTCATCTATTCTTCAATTATGGGGTCTCGGCTGCTATTTGGGAGATGGCCCTTGCTAGGTGTGGTATACGGCAGAGAGTACGTTATTGGGATAGAGAGTTGAATTGGGTGATTGCTACTTTCAAAGGTAAGTCTTCCCTCACTCTTCTTCTCAAGTTAACTTGGAACGCTTTCATTTACTTCATACGAGATAAACGAAATAGATATTGTTTTAATAGATTGAGTGTTAGATCGAATGATGAATTTTTTGGATTGATTTTGTTGACGAAAACGGGTAAAGAAAACAAAAGAACACGAGAATTTTACGAGGTTCGGCAATGTGCTTACGTCCTCGGTGCCTAGGCGGCGCTAGAAGTTTTATTCAATGATATTTTAGGTCTAGGTTACATATCTATTTATAATAGAAAACCCTGGTACATAATTACAAAATCAACCCTATACCGTACAGCGGGCCTGCGCCCCCGCACCCCCAACCCACATAATTCGTAACCCCACAACGAGACTTTCTTTGTAAGGACAGGTCACTCCGCTCCATCTCCTGTCCTCTTTACTGGTATATTTATGAGCCATACCTAACAAATCTCCACCTTGGCGAATATCCTGCCCCTTGGAAACTTCAATGTGGGTTGGGTTACCTTGCTTCTTTAACAACTCGAAACATTCAACAAGTCCAAGCAATGCTTGAACTTGTCTGTCGTAACTGGCTTGGTGAACATATCAGCAGCATTCTCATCAGTATGTACCTTCTGAAACAAAACCTCTCCAGATGCAACCAACTCTCTGATCTTGTAGAACCTTACATCAATATGTTTAGTTCTAGCACGATACACCTGATTCTTAGCCAAGTGAATAGCACTTTGATTATCACAAAGCAACTGAACTCCACCTTGTTGAACACCCAACTCCTTCACTAAACCAGTAAGCCATAAAGCTTCTTTTGCAGCTTCAGCCGCTGCCATGTACTCAGCTTCAGTTGTAGATAGAGCCACAACAGATTGAACAGTAGACTTCAAACAAATAGGCCCTCCACCAAGAGTAAAGACATACCCTGTCGTAGATCTTCTATTATCCAAGTCACCTGCATAGTCTGAATCCACATATCCTACAACCAAAGGATTATCCCGCTGACTCCCAAAAACAATTCCATGTCCCACAGTACCCTTTAAGTACCGAAAGATCCACTTGACTGCTTCCCAATGTTGCTTACCAGGTTTAGACATGTACTTACAAACTTGACTAACAACATGAGCTAAATCAGGACGAGTACATACCATCGTATACATCAAGCAGCCAACAGCATTAGAATACGGAACCTTTGCCATATCTTCAGCTTCCTTATCTGTCTTAGGGCACTATTCTGATGAGAGCTTAAAGTGATTCGCCAATGGACTGCTAACTGGTTTCGCGCTGCTCATCACAAACCTTTCTAGCATTTTCTCAACATAACCCCGTTGAGATAGCCGCAGTTTCCTTGAGTCTTTGTCCCTGCAAATTTCCATTCCAAGAATTTTCTTTGCAGCACCTAAATTTTTCATATCAAATTCTTGACTTAATAAAGTTTTTAAACCGATAACATCATCCATGTTCTTCGCAGCAATCAACATATCATCAACATACAATAATAGAAAAAATAAAAGAACCATCATCAAGGCTCTTAACACAGACACAATAATCATACTCACATCGGTTGTAGCCAATCTTGATCATATAGGAGTCAAACCGTTTATACCACTGTCTCGGAGATTATTTCAACCCGTACAAAGATTTCTTCAATCTGCAAACTAAATGCTCGTTTCCAGGTTGAGTGAAACCTTCAGGTTGCCGCATGTAGATCTGCTCCTCTAAATCACCATGCAAAAAAGCAGTTTTAATATCCATCTGCTCTAAATTCAAATCCCAACTAGCCACCAATGCAAGTACTGCTCGGATTGAAGTGTGCTGACCACAGGAGAAAAGATTTCATCATAATCAACTCCTTTCTGCTGTGAAAAACCCTTCGCTACCAAACGAGCCTTGAACTTCTCCCCCTCTTTTTTTGTTACTGCTGGTTTCTTTTTATACACCTATTTGCAACCAATCGGCTTCTTACCCTCAGGAAGGGGAACTAACTCCCATGTGCGATTGTGATTCAAAGACTCCATCTCCTCAACCATGGCTGCCATCCACTTGTCGTTTTCCTGACTAGTAACGGCATCATGAAAAGTAACCGGATCATCACTGCTAACAATAAGTGCAAAAGATACCAAGTCTTCAAAACCCAATCTGTTCGGAGGCTTTATATTCGTCCGTCTCACCCTGTCTCTGGCGAGACTATAATCCTGCAAATCATCCGTAGTGGAACCACCAGAAGTCAGTTGAGAAGTTTCTGGTTTCTCAACTGCAAACTGCTCGAAATCCACCACTGTCGTGTCTTGCTTCTGCTACAACATGGACTGTTCATCAAAAACGACATCTCTACTAATCACAACTTTTTCGTAACTGGATCCCAAAACTTGAATCCTTTGACACCTTTCTTGTAACCCAGAAAAATGCACTCCTTCGATTTTGCATCAAGTTTGGATCTCTCATCAGCAGGTACATGCACATAAGCAGGACAACCAAAAATCCGTAAGTTATCAAAACTAACATCATGACCAGTCCATACCTCTTCTGCAACTTTCCCAGCCAGCGATGCCCTTGGTGATCTATTGATAAGGTAACACGCCATGTTAACAGCCTCAACCCAGAAGTGTTTGGGAAGCCCCGCATTCAACCGAAAACATCTGGCTCTTTCATTCAATGACCTGTTCATTCGTTCCGCAACACCATTCTGTTGTGGTGTCTTGCGCACTGTAAAATGCCTCTAAATCCCATGCTCCTTACAAAATTGTAGGAACTGTGAATCTGTGTACTCCGTACCTTTTTTCAGACCGCAAACACTTGATTTTTCGTCCTGTTTGATTTTCTACCTCAGCTTTCCACAGCTTGAACTTCTCAAAAACTTCAGATTTCTGTTTCAAAAAATACACCCAAACTTTCTGTGAAAAATCATCAATGAAATTAACATAGTACCTAGATCCACCCAAAGACGATGTCGTGGAAGGCCCCCATACTTCAGAATGCACATAATCAAGAATCCCTTGAGTTGTGTGCTTCGCAGTCTTAAAACGGACTTTAGTCTGTTTACCAAGAACACAAAACTTACAAAAATCGAGCTTACAGCTTTTGACACCATGCAACAAGTTTCTCTTGTGTAATTCTGCCATACCACGTTCACTAAGATGAGCAAGGCGCATATGTCACAATTTTTTCGTATCATCACATGACTCAAAAGAGTGAACTCCACCTGCAACGGTACTCCCTAACAATCTGTAGATATTCCCTGCAGTCATCTTGCCTTTCATCACAGTCAATGCTCCTTTAACAATCCGAATGGTTTCCCTATCCTCGTCAGCCTTAGGGATAAAACCATTCTTGTGCAAAGTGCCCAAGGAAATCAAATTCTTCTTCAAGTCTGGGATATGTCGAACACCACTCAACGTCCGAACGGAGCCATCGTGCAGCTTAATTCTGACATCACCAATACCAACAATATTGCAACATCGATCATCACCCAAATAAACCGAACCAGAATTAACCAGCCTGTATGTCGAAAACCATTCCTTATTTGGCGTGATGTGATAAGAACATCCAGAATCAAGAATCCAAGCATCCGTCAATTGTGTCGTTGAAATAGAAAGCATATCACCCTCACTGCAATCAGAATTATCATCCTCGACCACGTTCACAGACTTGGATGAGCCATCACGCTTCTCATCAGTCTGCTTTTTCAACTTCGGACAGTCTCGCTTCATATGTCCCGCCTCCTTGCACTTGTAACAGTGAATCGTCTTCTTATCCCTGGATTTGGATTTGGAATTCCACTTCCCGGACCCTGCATTCTCTGGCTTCCGTCCACGATCTCGATTACCCTTGACATATAAGCTATCGGCTTGAGAGCTTTCCCCTGTATTCTGCTTCCGCTGGTTGTGAGCCAACAAGGCTGCAGTAATCTCCTCAACGTTGATAGTCTCTTTCCCATATGTAAGAGTAGTCACCATGTGTTCGTAAGAGGGAGGCAACGAACACAACAGAATCATCGCTCTGTCTTCATCCTCAATTTTCACATCAAGCCGAGCCAGATCAGAAAAGATTTGATTGAAGACATTCACGTGTTGCGCCAAATTATGATCGTCCTGCATCTTCAGCCCATACAGCCGCTGCTTCAGATACAGTTTTGTTGTTAAGAATTTGGACATAAACTGACTTTCCAACTTCCTCCAAATTTCGTCTGGAGACGATAGATGCATGACGTGATACATGACCTCGTCCGCCAAGCATAATCGTATGGTTCCTTCCGCTCGCTGCTGCAATTCTTCCCAATCTTCCTCATCCATCGACGTCGGCTTTGTAGGTCGCAAATCCTTCAAGATCCCTTGCTGCACCAATAGATCCTTCACCCTCATTTTCCATAATCCGAAGTTACCCTGACCATCTAATTTCGCAACTTTGAATTTTGCTCCTGACATCTGATACCAATCGTTGACGAAAATGGGTAAAGAAAACAAAAGAACACGAGAATTTTACGAGGTTCGGTAATGTGCTTACGTCCTCGGTGCCTAGGCGGCG